CCTTCCAGAGCTGAGATATCGAAACTCAAAAATTCGGCCCGAAAAAAAAACGACAGTGGTACCCCTTACGTTTTTTTTTTTTGGGCGAAAAATTAAGTTTCTCCAATCTTCCCAAATTCTGATAGAGGGCCATGAGACTTAGACCTGAGTGCAAAAATGGAGGCTCTAGCCCCTTCCAGAGCTGAGATATCGAAACTCAAAAATTCGGCCCGAAAAAAAAACGACAGTGGTACCCCTTACGTTTTTTTTTTTTGGGCGAAAAATTAAGTTTCTCCAATCTTCCAAAATTCTGATAGAGGGCCATGAGACTTAGACCTGAGTGCAAAAATGGAGGCTCTAGCCCCTTCCAGAGCTGAGATATCGAAACTCAAAAATTCGGCCCGAAAAAAAAACGACAGTGGTACCCCTTACGTTTTTTTTTTTGGGCGAAAAATTAAGTTTCTCCAATCTTCCCAAATTCTGATAGAGGGCCATGAGACTTAGACCTGAGTGCAAAAATGGAGGCTCTAGCCCCTTCCAGAGCTGAGATATCGAAACTCAAAAATTCGGCCCGAAAAAAAAACGACAGTGGTACCCCTTACGTTTTTTTTTTGGGCGAAAAATTAAGTTTCTCCAATCTTCCCAAATTCTGATAGAGGGCCATGAGACTTAGACCTGAGTGCAAAAATGGAGGCTCTAGCCCCTTCCAGAGCTGAGATATCGAAACTCAAAAATTCGGCCCGAAAAAAAAACGACAGTGGTACCCCTTACGTTTTTTTTTTTGGGCGAAAAATTAAGTTTCTCCAATCTTCCCAAATTCTGATAGAGGGCCATGAGACTTAGACCTGAGTGCAAAAATGGAGGCTCTAGCCCCTTCCAGAGCTGAGATATCGAAACTCAAAAATTCGGCCCGAAAAAAAAACGACAGTGGTACCCCTTACGTTTTTTTTTTTGGGCGAAAAATTAAGTTTCTCCAATCTTCCCAAATTCTGATAGAGGGCCATGAGACTTAGACCTGAGTGCAAAAATGGAGGCTCTAGCCCCTTCCAGAGCTGAGATATCGAAACTCAAAAATTCGGCCCGAAAAAAAAAACGACAGTGGTACCCCTTACGTTTTTTTTTTGGGGCGAAAAATTAAGTTTCTCCAATCTTCCCAAATTCTGATAGAGGGCCATGAGACTTAGACCTGAGTGCAAAAATGGAGGCTCTAGCCCCTTCCAGAGCTGAGATATCAAAACTCAAAAATTCGGCCCGAAAAAAAAACGACAGTGGACCCCATGAGACTTTTTTTTGAGTGCAAAAACGTAAGGGGTACCACTGTCGTTTTTTTTGTCGGGCCGAATTTTTGAGTTTCGATATCTCAGCTCTGGAAGGGGCTAGAGCCTCCATTTTGCACTCAGGTCTAAGTCTCATGGCCCTCTATCAGAATTTGGGAAGATTGGAGAAACTTAATTTTTTCGCCCAAAAAAAAAAACGTAAGGGGTACCACTGTCGTTTTTTTTTTCGGGCCGAATTTTTGAGTTTCGATATCTCAGCTCTGGAAGGGGCTAGAGCCTCCATTTTTGCACTCAGGTCTAAGTCTCATGGCCCTCTATCAGAATTTGGGAAGATTGGAGAAACTTAATTTTTCGCCCAAAAAAAAAAACGTAAGGGGTACCACTGTCGTTTTTTTTTCGGGCCGAATTTTTGAGTTTCGATATCTCAGCTCTGGAAGGGGCTAGAGCCTCCATTTTTGCACTCAGGTCTAAGTCTCATGGCCCTCTATCAGAATTTGGGAAGATTGGAGAAACTTAATTTTTCGCCCAAAAAAAAAAACGTAAGGGGTACCACTGTCGTTTTTTTTTCGGGCCGAATTTTTGAGTTTCGATATCTCAGCTCTGGAAGGGGCTAGAGCCTCCATTTTTGCACTCAGGTCTAAGTCTCATGGCCCTCTATCAGAATTTGGGAAGATTGGAGAAACTTAATTTTTCGCCCAAAAAAAAACGTAAGGGGTACCACTGTCGTTTTTTTTTCGGGCCGAATTTTTGAGTTTCGATATCTCAGCTCTGGAAGGGGCTAGAGCCTCCATTTTTGCACTCAGGTCTAAGTCTCATGGCCCTCTATCAGAATTTGGGAAGATTGGAGAAACTTAATTTTTCGCCCAAAAAAAAAAACGTAAGGGGTACCACTGTCGTTTTTTTTTCGGGCCGAATTTTTGAGTTTCGATATCTCAGCTCTGGAAGGGGCTAGAGCCTCCATTTTTGCACTCAGGTCTAAGTCTCATGGCCCTCTATCAGAATTTGGGAAGATTGGAGAAACTTAATTTTTCGCCCAAAAAAAAAAACGTAAGGGGTACCACTGTCGTTTTTTTTCGGGCCGAATTTTTGAGTTTCGATATCTCAGCTCTGGAAGGGGCTAGAGCCTCCATTTTTGCACTCAGGTCTAAGTCTCATGGCCCTCTATCAGAATTTGGGAAGATTGGAGAAACTTAATTTTCGCCCCAAAAAAAAAACGTAAGGGGTACCACTGTCGTTTTTTTTTCGGGCCGAATTTTTGAGTTTCGATATCTCAGCTCTGGAAGGGGCTAGAGCCTCCATTTTTGCACTCAGGTCTAAGTCTCATGGCCCTCTATCAGAATTTGGGAGATTGGAGAAACTTAATTTTTCGCCCCAAAAAAAAAACGTAAAGGGTACCACTGTCGTTTTTTTTTTCGGGCCGAATTTTTGAGTTTCGATATCTCAGCTCTGGAAGGGGCTAGAGCCTCCATTTTTGCACTCAGGTCTAAGTCTCATGGCCCTCTATCAGAATTTGGGAAGATTGGAGAAACTTAATTTTTCGCCCAAAAAAAAAAACGTAAGGGGTACCACTGTCGTTTTTTTTTTCGGGCCGAATTTTTGAGTTTCGATATCTCAGCTCTGGAATGGGCTAGAGCCTCCATTTTTGCACTCAGGTCTAAGTCTCATGGCCCTCTATCAGAATTTGGGAAGATTGGAGAAACTTAATTTTTCGCCCCAAAAAAAAAAACGTAAGGGGTACCACTGTCGTTTTTTTTTCGGGCCGAATTTTTGAGTTTCGATATCTCAGCTCTGGAAGGGGCTAGAGCCTCCATTTTTGCACTCAGGTCTAAGTCTCATGGCCCTCTATCAGAATTTGGGAAGATGGGAGAAACTTAATTTTTCGCCCAAAAAAAAAACGTAAGGGGTACCACTGTCGTTTTTTTTTCGGGCCGAATTTTTGAGTTTCGATATCTCAGCTCTGGAAGGGGCTAGAGCCTCCATTTTTGCACTCAGGT